TCTTTTTTCCTATTTTTTCACAACGAGGAAACACGCTAAACCGTTATGTCAGCAGACATATCAACTTGTATATCAGCATTGCATAGTTTACAGTATTCATAGTTACTTATATACCAACTATACTGATTCATACATTGGATTACCTAGAAAGTTCATTTTACATTGATATTTTCTGTAATCAAAATTAAAAGAGTCTTTGATGAGGAACACGTGTTTTTAGGGGGACACATGAGGGACACATTTCAGGAAAAATTGTTTATCAGTTAAATATTTATTTCTATGAACTCGTTTTATTTCTAAAATTAACAAATGTATATAATTCTTGGGGTGGGGGGAGGGGTACAATTTTATGCTTTTGATTAAAATTTGTTTATAAACTCTGATCACTCGTTAAGATTGATTTATAAGACATCCTATATAAAATGGGAAGTATTTGCAAAACGTCCGTGAAAATTTTTCGCACGAGTTTGACCGAAAAACTAAAACCGGCCTAAACTAGTTTACCCAACAACACTTTCATGATCATCTAACTGGAATGGATTTAACGTTGAAGTAACAGTTACTTTCAACTTTTCAAATTATTGTTACAAATTAAACGTTTACTATGTTTATCGACGTTTAAAAAGACGTGTGAGACATGACACGTGACACATAGGACACGTGACACACGTTACGTTCCAAAGAGGTTATGTTTTAAGTGGCACTCGTCCTTTCTTTTTTCTTTTTACTTTTTTTACAAGTGAAAAAGAACTTCTTAAAGGAATTTCCGTGATGATGTTGCTGGTTGGTTGGTTGTTGTATTGACTTCCGGTATTGTAAATTGCTTCGATACCGTTAAGTGTAGCTTGTATTGCTCTAAACGTGCTACCTATGAGGGATTTTCTTTTTTTTTATTACAAAAGGTACAAAAAGATTGTTTAATTTATGTTATTAGTTTATTACACTGACAGTGTTCAAATTATTTCGAAGAATTTTATATATATATTCAATGTTTTTATTTAGGTCAACTGTTATTTAGGAAAAAATAAAATAAATTTCAAAAGTTTCAATACGATATTCATAGATGTCGTTGTTACTTTATTAATAAATGTGACAGCCATTTTGATTTCATTTTTATGTTTCTAATATAATTCGATCAAATGTAACACGGTTGGATAGATAAAAATGCTATACGTAAAATTAGAAAACAAAAGAAAGAAAAATAAAATCAAACACATCACACATGCAGACACATACAAGAGAATAATAAAAAGATTAAAAGAGAAAAGTAGAAAATTATCTTAAATTTTATTTACATCGTTTTATTTAACGGAGAAAGTTCCTCGTCGTGTGTTTTCTCCCTTCCACCAATCGTCTTAGTAATAGTAATAGTAATAGTAATAATGATAATAATAATAATTATAATAATAATAATAATAATAATAATAGTGACGTTACAAAATTGAAATAATTTATTTAATTAGAATAATTACAATATTATTATTAAATTAATATTGTAATTATTATATTTTTAATTATTCTAATACCACATATATATGTATTTAATATATTTATATTATTAATAATAATAAGTAATATATTTAATAATTTATTTAATTTTATTATTTTTATTTATATATTATCGAACGTGAAACATCTCTAATTCCTGAAGTAGGTAAAGGAAAGAATTTAGTTGAGGTTAGGATATCAAACGAAGAGTTAACAGTAAAAAGAGGGGATGAAGTATGGTGGCCGGGTGTCTGGGACTCGATGGTGCGGTGGGGAGGAAGAAAAGCCGCAAGAACCGGATGTTAGAAATTTTCGCGTAGATCGCGGAACACTTTGTGAGCGGAGAGTTTGGGGGAGGGGTCTACACAGCACGATTCACGGAATTCAGGTCTCCCAATGTGAACGTATTTTTTTTTTTTAGCGTGCACACGTTTACAAACACATCGAAAACACTACGGTATGAGAATAAGTAAGAGAGAAAGAAAGGGGTGAGGGAGGGAGGGAGGGGTTAGGAGGAGAGAGAGAGGGACAATCTGGCCTCACTTCTACTATCCTAGATTCTCTCTCTTGGTACTTTCTATTGTGTTTACGGATCGGATTTGTGTAGTACCTTTCGCTTCTTAGAAAATAACCCGATTCTCTTCTGTATATTTCCTTCCGAGATTAGGTTAATTTATTTTTCATAGATTTTTACTGTTAGCAAACTCAACACGATTTTGAAAGAGAGACAAGGGGAAGAAGAGAGGAATATTATTTGAACCGTTATTTGTAAATTGGTTGATGAAAATGGCTGCTGGTTTTTGAGTTATTGAGAAATGGTCGGTTTTTTTTAAGGTTATGTTCGATATTTTTTTTATTATCTCGTGGTTAGATGTTTATTTCGATCTGTCGATTATTTATTTTTAACGTATCGTGGATTCTATTATGTTTTTTTGTTCAAATATCATAGAAGAAAGTATTGTTAATATTGTGAAAGATAATTATTTATAGGTTATGTTCGAATTTGTGGTTTTTACATTGTTAAGTTATTTCGATCTTACAATTATATTAACTTTCAATCTATCTTGTGTACTTTTATATATATATATTTTTAAATAGAATAGAAGAATTATGAAAGATAACTATTTATAGGTTATGTTTGAACTTTTTGTTTTCTCATCGTCAAATTATGTCAATTTTACAATTATATTAGTTTTCAATGTATCATTTTGTCTTTTATTTCTTTTTTTTCCCTTGAGATAAGATATAAGATAATAAAGAAATAAAATTTTGGAAAAATAACCTAAAAAAAAGGTCTTCTGAAAATGGTAGGTGTCCTAGACTGGAACTCTATTTTCGTTCAGCAACTTAGACATATATATATACTCTTACCAGCTTGTCGGGCATTTCTGATATATCTTCTGGGCCAATCGAACGTGACCGGTCTTATTACTTTACCCCCACTAACCTTCTCTAACCCCCTAAACCACCACCCGTATCTTTGCCATTACCTTTACCTTTACCAACCCCCTCTTACCTACACTCACTCACTTTTTCTCAACTTCTCTTCGTCAGGGGTCTTTTTATACTACCACTTGACATTTTAAAATTATTAACATATATATATATATATATATACACACACACATATATATATATATATATATATATATATATATTTATTTATTTATTTATTTATTTATTTTTATACGTATTCAATACATAAATACAATACATAATACAATACATAAATATTTTATATTTATTACATGTGTATAAGTATAAAACACACATACATTAATTGTTTATACATCATACATTTCTACATAAATATTTATATACGTGTGTGTACATATATGTACACATATTACTCGTATGCACTGATAAAATATATTAATTATGTTTTATTAAAATAAATAAATATGTGCAATAGATTTATACAAACATTAATATATTTGTATTTTGAAATATATTTTTTTTATAAACTTATAAATGTTTTTTTATAAACTTATATAATGTTTTTACTTATATATTTAATATTTAATAATATATTTAATTAATTTATTTATAAATATGTATACACGAGATTGAATTAAAAATCAATCTATGAATAATTTGATCGAACAATTCTGTTTATTTTTTACAAAAAAACATAAAATACCTAGGACGAGTCATCATCAAACGAACAGGGGGGGGGGAAGAACGAAGGTTATAGAAAAAACCAGCGTAAACGTTCGACCTTCCAAAATATCTTCTCTTTCATCTTTATTAAAGGGTCATGTAATAATAATCGATTTTCTATACGATCCTTTCTTCTCGACCCTAAATTTTTAACCAATTTTACAAAACAAAAAAAGAAGAAAATTAAAATGACCCTTTCATTATATTATACATATATATATATACATTATATATATATAATACGTATGTATTGGGATCTCTGGCAAGGGCGTGGCGTAGCAATTCGACCTATCTACTCTAATTTTGAATTTAGCCACCAGATAGCGTATTCAAGTGCTAGAGATCTCAATACCTATTATATCTATATATAATTTTTATGTTTATATATATATAAATAATAATAATAACAATAATAATATATTTAAAATAAAAATATATATATATATATATATATATATGTGTAATGTCAAGAATCAACAAAAAATATCGATTAACTTCAACCTATAAACTTTTCGTATTACAATTTATAAATGGAAATTTAATTAAATAAACAACTTAAATTGGACCGAATTGTAACGCAAAACCATTATCGAATCCACCTTAAGACACACACAAAATTTCATTAAAATCGGTCCAGCCGTTTAAGAGGTGATCAATTACATAAACGTGCTTAGAAGAAATATATATATATATATAAAGATATATATATAATAATATATTTAAAATAAAAATGTATATATGTAATGTATATACATATATATATTTTTTGTTTTTAAATTTTATTTTCTTCGCGATTTGTTAAACACATAAAGTTAAAAAAAACCCCTATCATAGTGTATTATAAAATTGGAATAGTACAATTGTAGAGTTTTTATAAAAAAAAGTATATGATGGGGCTGGGATTGAGGGTGGGGTAAGGGAATAGTATCATCGATCTTTAAACGGTAGATTATTATTTATGCAAAAACGTTAATTGAAATAGTCAGTTAGTCAGTCAGTCAGTCAGCATCTCTCATGGGTTTATATCTATCTATCGACATTTCTATCATTCAGTCGTCAAATGAACAAATGTTAAACTATGGGTTTGTCTCTGTATTAGTGTGTACAACGATCTAATTTACTCACTTCATTTTCTCTCTTTTCATCCAACTGTCCTCCCTAACCGTGTGACGGGAATGCTGTGTTGTATCCGTTATTACGTATCTGTATATATGTATGTGTGTGTAATGTGTGTATGTTCATTCATTGACGAGCACAAGCAGAAAGAGAGAGAGAGAGAGAGAGAGAGAGAGAGAGAGAGAGAAGACCGGAACGCGTTAATAAAGCAAGCTTTTTCGCCATTTCTGTTACAGATAATAAACGAGGAGCTGTTAGTAGGATACATTTATGACAGAACGAAGTGTTACACTAGACACGTCAAAGGAAGTCAAGAGGTAATCTTGACTATTGCAATTGGTGGTGGGGAGGATCTTTGTTATCGATTAAAAGGATAGAACGATACCCGTAAGAATCATTTTTATTATTTATTTATTTATTTATTTGTATTTAGGTATATGTAGTTTTTTATTTGTTTATTTTTAGTATAAAAGTAGTAGAGGAAGATGAGACTTTTTTATTTCTTTATTTCTTTATTTATATGCTGTCGTGAAAAATTGGTGTTGAAAAATGTTAACATTCACTTGGTTAGTTGAAATATTGATGATTTATAAGAATAAATCTAAGTATTTGGTCTTTCACTATATTTGGTGTATGTTGACATTTACCAATTTTGATCTTTCACGATAATATGGTCAATAATATGACTATTTTAAATGCAATGGTTAGGTTAGAAGAGGTTAGGTCCACGTGGTTAAAAGATACGATTTTCGTTTTGTTTTAATTGTTACAATTTATTTATTTATTTATTTATTTATTTATGTAGATGTATGTAGGTTACTATGAAAGATTGAAATTGAAGTATGTCAAGACTCACGTACGTAGTCATTTGAAATATTGATGATGTATAAAAATAAAGCAAAGTATTCGATTTTTAACTATATTTTGGTATTTCTTTAATATTTCACTATATAAATCTTGACTTTCTCCAATTTCGATCCTTCACGATAACATATATATATTATTTGACTATTTTTAATACAACTATTAGGTTAGAGTGGGTGGTAGGTAGGTCACGTGTGTTCTACCGAACATATATATATATATATTATTTTCTGTTATAAGACCCTGAATAAAGGTAGAGAACTGAGAAAAACAATATTTGTAATTTGATTTGGTTAAAGTATAAAAATAAATAAATAAATAAATAAAAGGTTATGTCTGAAAAATTGAATTTTTTGTTTAATCTATCAAAACTTTTCTTGTGCAACATCAACAGAAAAGAAAAAAGAAAAAAAGTACAAATAAAATTACAGAATAAGGATTGAGAAAATAAAAATAGAAAAAAAAATTGAAACAAAGTATATAAAATGTGTCCGTCTAAAAGTTAGGTTAGTATTAAAAAAGATAGTAGTATTAGTATATTAGTACACACATTGCTGCTGCTGCTGTTGTTACCGGTGTGGTGTGTCTTAAAAAAAAAAAAAAAAAAAAAAAAAAAATATAAATTAATTTTCTAAACTTCTTTCTACAAAAAAAAATAGAAAGTAAAAAAAAACAGAACAAGGATGAATCTCGTCTGAAAAATCCAATTAATTAATCTCCCAAACTCTCGCACCCATACCAACACAATCCACCCGACAAAAAAAGATACAATAAAGATGTGGAATTAAGGCTTGCAAAAAAAGAAAAAAGAAAAAAGAAACAAAGAAAGAAGATAAAATGTCTGGTTAGGTTAGAATTAAAAATGGCTGCTAGAGAGAGAATATAATAAAGAAATATTACGGGTTATTATACTTTATCGGCACGCGTTAGTTGGTCTACCAAAAAAAAGATTAAAAAAGATAAGAAAAGAAAAAGAAAAACTATAATAAATTAATAAAAAAAAAAAAATATTCTTTCTAACCTTCGTGTTCGAGGCTTGCAATCCGCAAAAATAAGAAGGTTAGGTCTGGAAAAAAATCCAATTTATTAATCCACCCAGCCCCCCCAAAGCTTCCCCTACCACGAAAAAGTACAATAAAGGAAGGTACCGGGGAATAAGGGGTTGAAAAAGAGAAAGAAATAAAAAGGATAAAAAAAAATGAAAAAATATAGAGAGACAGAAAGAGTTGTAGGGAAAGGGGAATAAAAAAAAGGAAAGAAAAAAGAAGAAAATGAAAGAGAAAAAGGACGGAGAAGAAAATGTCTGGTTAGGTTAGTATTAAAAGAGAGAGCTAGGGGAAAGGGTATATAGAATTAAAAAAAAAGAAGAAAGGAGCAAAAAAATATATATATATATATATATATATTTTTTTTATTTTTTCCTATATATATATAGGAAATAGTATTAGTATTGGTACGCATTGGTGGGGTGCGTCCTCGGTCGTGACATGAGAATGATGTTCCAGACGACGAGGAGTTTGGGGTGGTGGCGGCGGAGGAAGGTGGAGGAGGGTGTACGGTGAAACTCAGCAACGGTGACGAGCCTAACGGCGGGAGTAACCGACGAAGAAGAAGAAGAAGAAGAGGAAGAAGAAAAAAAAGAAGAAGAGGAAGAAGAGGAAGGAGGAGGTTGGGGTGGTGGTGGTGGTGGCGTCGGTGGTGGTGGCGAAGAAGAAGAAGGTTTGGGTGGTGGAGGGAAAGAAGGGAGGGGGCGGCGGCGGAGGAGGCGGAGGAGAGGAGGGGGAGGAGGAGGAAGTGGCAGAGGTGGAGGAGGTGGAGGAGGGGTGGTGGTGGTGGAAGAGGAGAAGAAGGAGGCGAGCAGGAACAGGAACAGCTTGCTCGTGTTGTTGCAGGTGCCGACGGCGCCAAAAGCGGCCTTGGTTCAACCAAAGCCGCGCATGCTTCATCATCAACAACAACAACAACATCAGCAACAACAGCAACAACAACAACAACATCAACATCAACAACATCAGCAACAACAACAACATCAGCAACAACAACAACATCAGCAACAACAACAACAACAATTTCAACCATTTCAACAACGTATTGCTACAGGAACTACTACTACAACAACGACAATACCATTTGGGTCGTCATCACACAACAACATGTTCCCCCAACAATACTGCCTGAGATGGAAGTACCATCACAGCAACCTGCAGACTATGTTCTCACAACTACTAGAAAGGCAGGCCTATTGCGATGTCACGTTAGCATGCGAGGGCCAGACTCTAAGAGCTCACAAGGTAATATGAACATTTTTATCCTATTATTATTTTAGATATATAATGGTTTTAGAATTGATTATGATTACTTGCATGTTTATTACTCTATTGAAAAAGATGCAATACTGAAACTTTATGAACATAAGAAGGGATTGAGAAAATACTGTCATCGATTGATCAGATTTATTTTTTTCATTGGAGTACATAATTAAAATATTTAATCCTTTGTAAACAAGTATCAAAGTAAATCGATTGAGTTTAACAAAATGCAAATCCTGAAAAATGCAGTCCTGTTGAAATGACATTTTCAAATGCTACGAAGTAATTGATCGAGTTTACTTTCTGTTTTTATTTTGTTCTTTTACTGGGATATATCAACCTAGCATAAAAAAAAAGACTTTGCAATCTAATTATTTAGTTTGATCTTTTGAACTTATTTTCTATTCTTTTTATATTGATTTCTTTTGAAAGGTGCAACCCTTAAAGAAATACTACTACATGGGGGTTACGAATATCGTCAAATAATTTATTATAATTGATCGAGTTTTACAGTCCGTATTCTGAATACGTCAGCTCAGAAATCTCGTAGTTTCAATCGTTAAAGAAACTTTCAAATGTTTCAACAGAAGATCAAACTTTTTTCTCAAACGTTAAGATGATCATACTGTAAATAATTTAACCTATTATTTTTTTCTACTTAAATGTATTCTCAAACAAAAAACCAGATTTTTCCAAAATCCCTGATTTAAAAGCTAAAAGAGATCCAAGTCTAAGTCCTAGTCTCAGTCCCAGTCCAAGTCCAGGTCCAACAACCAACAACCTCCACCCCACAAATTCGATCAAACATTAATTTAGGAACGAACGAGTTTCTGATGATAGCAGCAGACGTAGACGACGTATCAAACGGGGGGTAGTAACGGGCCAGGTAAAGGGGGTTGATAGGGGTGTTATACGTACGTACATCTGGGCAGCCGAAGTTTGATCATCGGGGTTAGGTAGAGGGAAAACTCTGGCGATAATTAAACGGCCTTTCCGCAGAGCGCAGAGAATGGGCGCTTCGATCGGCGGGGTTTGGGTTCCCCGGGTTGGGTTCCTCCCGGGGGTTTGGGGGAAGTGAACAACCCCGTAGTAGTAGTAGGAGGCGGAAGAAGAAGAAGAAGATGATAAAGAACCCCAGGGTTGCTGTTGGATTGTCGTTGGAAAAAGTAAAAAGAGGGAAAATAGGTGGTGGACGTGGATAGAAGTGGGGGCAGACAGACCCCACAACCCCAGTGAGTGGGTGATGTTGTGTTGTATGGTGGGGTGGAAAAAAAGGGGGGACACACAATCTCGCGCAGAGTTTTCATAGGATGACGTTCTGCGCGGCGACTTTTGCTCCTCTTCTATTTTTTATTTTTCCTTTTTATTTCCTAGCGCATCTTTTTTCCATAGTCGTAATTCATTTTTTTTTTTTTTTATTATTTTATCGTTGTCATTCGATCTACGAATGTCAGAGAGGGTGTGTGTTGAATTGGTAGTTGGTATGGAGGGGTACACACGAGCGTCCATCTTTTTCGTTAACCGAAACTCATCCCCTGACGCAACCCCCGTTTCTTCTACCGTCGAGTTTTTTGAGCTTCGTTTACGTGTTTGTGTGTGTTCTGGGTGCAGTGAGAACTGTACCCTGCGATTTGTCTTATTGGATTGTATGCTTGAGAAAGAAAATATGAAGAAAAAAAAAATAAAAGAGGAGATCACCACCAACAACCAACTACCATCACCACCCAACAACCACCACTACCATCACCATCCTTTTAACGTTGGCCCCGAGGAACATAAAACTTGACAAACGATCAATTTTCTGTTCTTTGTTTCTTACCAGGTTGGATGGGAACACACAACCTATCCCCCCTTTCTCTCTCTTATTCTTTCACATTTCTTCTCACCCCTTTTACTCTTCACCTCCTCATCCCAAGTAGCAACCAGCCAGCCAACAGCCAGTCTCACTCACCCACCCACCCACGCGCAATATACCATGTTTTTACCCCTTTTCCCAAACCCAACTAACCCCCTACAAACCACCAACCCCTCTCGCGTTCTTTCATCGCTCGTCCTTCTCTCTCTGTTTTTTTTCTACTTTCTTCCTTTCCTTTCCTTTCCTTTCGTTCCTTCCTCATTCTTTTTTGTACCCAACCCCCCCCCCTTTCAGCCGCCACTGCCGCTTGCGCCTCCACCAACCCAACCAACCCCCTCGTCGTAACCCCGCGCGTCCCCGAATTTTTCTTTTTTTCTTTTTCTTTTCTCTCCCCCCTGCCCCTGCTGCCCCATCAACCCCCGTCTCGTCGTCGTGGCCTATGCGTCGAAACGAGCCGCGCAGAGGGGAGGAGAGGCACTCTATCAAAGTAGAAAGAGAAGAAGAAAGAAAATAAAAAAAAGAAAAATGAAAGGGAGAGAGAGAGAGAGAGTACCGTTTGGCTTGGTTTATTTTTTACTTTGGGAGGGGTCCAAATTGTAAAATCAATACTTCCTCCTAAATTTAGAATGCCGCCGACGCCGACGCCAACGCCGAACCCAAAGCCGTGGGAAAGAAACACACAATACACACACAAACTTCAAAAACATAATTGTGCTTTTGTTTTTTTTTAATAGTTTCTTATTTCCCACCCAATAGAACTTAGAGCCCCCTAGACTTCTGTTAGCTTTCCAGCCCCCAAAATGTCTTATGTTTTGACCCCCCCCCTTTTGTTATTTGTTTTTATGGTTGCTAGGAGTAGCTTTGAGGGAACTGGATTGGCGAGTTTCCGGGTGGGGGTGGTTGTCCATCATGTTTGGGTAGTTTGAATTTGTTCGATTTGATTGGGTCTTGTTTGTAAATGGGTTTTTACATTGCATGGAAAATATAATTAAATGTAGAACCATTAAATGTTGCGTTACAAACAAAAACGTTGTTGCTACTTGTACCATGACTGTTTGCGATGATTTTATTAGAAATTGATTAAAGAAGGGTTGAAAAAATATGGTGAAAGTAATCTAGATTTGATGGGGGACCTAGGGATTCAAGTAAAGTCAAAGTTAAAACTATGGGAATCTATTGGAGTGTCTTTGAGGAAACAGGATTGACGAGTTTCCGGGTGGGGATAGTGTTCTCCAGTTTTGTTCGATTTGATTGTTGAAAAGTTCCTGTTACAGACAACTGGGTAGTCTATTGGGTAGAATAGTAGAGTGGTAAAATGATGACGAAGGGATGCTTGCTCACCCCACCCCCAACCCCTCATTCCCCACTCCCTTTCTTGCGTGAAGAACAGCTGTTCTTACTTCTTACTTTTTTCTAACCTCCTTTTTTATTTTTATATTTGATCTCTTTCTGTCAATGTGTGGTAGTGGGGGAGGGGTTTTCATGGTGTTTACCATAGTATACCAACTCTGAATTCTGATATCACCTGACTCCAGGTGTAGCATAACCCTAAGTGATTTGAAAATAGATATATATATATATATATTTATTTATAAAAAACTGTATGTTTTAAAGGGTTGGTATTATATATGCATGATGTATGTGTGTACGTTGGTAAATGTGTATTAGTAGAACAGCATGCGTGTTCATTTAAAACGTAGGAAAAGAAAAAAGAATAAAAAAAAAGGGAAAAAGATGGAAGGGTAAAAAGAGAGATTAGAATCAGCAATGAGAGAATTTCCAAGGCTTGGGTTGGTTTGTAATAGTACTGTTGGCGTTAGTGTTGGTGTTAGTGTGTTGATAGTGTGGTGGTAGTTGCTTTCTTGCAATTACACCATATGTGTCGTTCTTTTTTTTCTTTCTTTCTTCCTCTCTTTGTTTCATTTTTTTTTTTTTCATTTTTTTTTGCATTTTTCTTTTACTACTACTCTTACCTTTTATTTTTGTATTTGACAGTTTTTATTTATCATTTTTCATTTCTTCTGTATCTCCTTTGTTTTTTTTTTCTCTTTTTTTTTCTATTCAGTTCTTTGAGCGGGAAAATAAAAAAAGTTTGTCCCTTTTCAAATTTTGTCTCTAGGTTTCTTTTTGAAGTATTTTCGTTTTTTTTTTTACTCTTTCTTTACTTTCTTTTATTTTTAGTTTTGTTTATTTTTTTTTCTCTTTTTTTCGTTATCTTTATCTTTATCTTATACTCTTTCTATCTCTTGTTTTTTATTTATCTTTTTAAAGTTCTTTAGTTGATGACAAAAAAAAATAAAATGATAATATTTTAGTAAAGAAACAAAATAACAAAAAAAAGAAAAAAAGAAAAGAAAGTAAAAAGAAAAAATGTCAAAATGTAAAATAGAATTTCATCATTGTGTTTTTTTTTTATATTATATTTATTTTATATTATTTTATATTATATTTATTTTATTATCTTATTTTTATTTTATTTTTAATATTTCGTTTTTTTACCAGTTTAACCATTTAAAATTGGAGTAAAGCATAATTTATCTATGACGTCATTGTTATAAACTTCCTCACACATGCTGATATGATTTATTTGTTTTTAATTTTTTATTTATTTTATTTTTATACATACATAAAATATATGAAAAAATATTAGAAATATAATGAAATGAAATAAAAAAAAAATATTTAAAAGAAAATGAAAAAAAATGATATAAATATATTTATTTGTTAATTATAAATAATTAATTATCGTTTGTTAATTAAGACACAAACGTAGGGAGTATAAAAGGCAAGGTTCTTTTCTAAGTACCTTGAGGGTAATTATATACAGAAAAAAAGGGGGTTGTGCCAGGTGCGAAGGTCGTTAAACCCGGATATCCTGTGTTTTAAAAAAAGATCATAAAGATCATGCATAAGATTTAAAAAAAAGATATAATAACATATCGTTATAAATAATTGTTTTGTTTATTACTATAAAATAATAATTATTAACAATAATAGTGATGATTAATTTATCATAATTAGATAATAATTAAATTAATTAAATAAACTTCGTATGAATGAATGAATGAAATTAAAATTCGTTACGAATTTTTTTTTATTGATAAAAATCGTGTAAAATGTTTTTTTT